TGATTATTTCGTGGAAATAAAGGTAAGTGAGTGGACAGACCGGCCAATGCGTTGTCAATGGGCGTCAGTGTCTGACTTTGTCTCACATGACACACCGTTTGCTGACAGAAACCATAGGCACAGAACAGCACAGAATTCTCGGCCACATTAGCTGCCAGTGCGGGCGCCGTTCCCGCGTATAGGCCTCTAAACCACCCGTCCTATCGACAAGACATGCAAATATGCCTTAAGTTTCAATACTTCTAAATGTCTTAATGAGTGACAGATATAATGAATGAATGCATACCTTAAGCACAGTTTGTTTGAAACAATTCAATGTATTTGTGTATAAATGCGGAAATGTTTGCATTTTTACTTTAATTGTGTCCAACGGTTGCCCCACCAGTACAGTGGCCACACCACCTGTCGTATGACCAGGGTAGTATCATGTCAAACAAGTTCAACAAATATTAGTTATTTAAATAGAGATATTCATTGAAATAAGTGATTACCGGCTGATCCGGCCATCAGATCGACGGCACCGATGGCTAACTGTCTGATCGTACTGTCGGATGAAGACATAGTACACCACTAAAAGACACCGCGATATCAATGGACACCGATTTCGAGGCTAGTATAGCGTATAACGAGTTGATTGGCGACAAATAAGCTAGCAACTTATTAGCGTGACTACTTTCGCAGTGAAATGCATGAAATGCAGTGAACTCTTGAACTGAAATTGAATTTCAAGTATTATTTAAGTCATTATTAAACCGTAATCTCGAGTGAAAACTCACTTGAAGTCCGACTTTTTGAATGCCATTCCCTGATACACATGACTCGTACACTGATTTTCACTACATTTTTATCGCACTTTCCTTGCATTCACTCATTATTTTTGTTCATTCATTTCAATCACTTTTTTCCACTCAATTGCTCTCAATATTAATAATTTATTGATTTCATAATCAATTCATTGATATGTGTTTCGCTTGAGTGACTTTTTAAACTACTTTTCCAAACACTACACGTGACTATCAAATACTGTACACTGTTTTGGGTACAGTTGACACCAGTTTTACACAAACACCAGTCAATTGTATTGTGTACTGTAGCTGATTGCGATATTTTTGGACGTTTTGATTTGTGTATTTAAATTATCGCTAAATTCTATGCTTTCAATAAATGCACTTTTCAATTATCATGTCTAATTTGTTTGCTCACAATATCTAAGATTAATTGTAAACTGTGTATAAAGTTTTAAATACAGTGATTACGCAAGAGATGGCATTGAATGGCAATACAGTACTGGGTTATCTACTTTGACAGTAAGTTAGAATTATACCTTGTTACTTTAATTAGATTAATTGTTTGATGGGAGGAAATGAATTTAATGTAATGAACACTTGGATTGAATGATTTAATACAACATTTTAATACTTTTTATACAACTGTCTGAATCTAAAGCATGAAATTCTGATATAAATTCTGTCGAAATGTTTGATTTTATTTGAATTCTTGATTTTCATGCTCTCACTGACAATAAGTTTGTGTCAAACTATCACTTCATGCGA